ACGCCATCCCCTTTTCCTTATGAATCAGGGTGAAGTCTCTCTCAGGGAGGAGTGATAGGGAACGGCAAAGGACACACTGACAAAGAAGATTAATCAGAACTGGCTATGACAAGCACTGTGGCAATTGGACAATTAAAACAGACTTTCAAGGGGGTAAAAAAAGAACGAACTGGGGAAGAGGGTAGAGAAAATAGTGCAACAATGAATGAAAATCTCTGTAAATGTTCATTAAAATTAATAAAATACAATAATTTAAAAAGGACAACAACAACAACAAAAAACCAAGCCTTAGATTTACAGGAGTTATTTACAACCCATATATTTAAGATTTGTATCCAGGATACATAAATAACTCTTTCTAACCAACAAAAGCAGGCAAACTACTGAATAAGTATTTCACTGATATGCCATCCTGGGAGTAAGAAAAATAGGGAAAAGGGAAGAAGGAAGGAAGGGGAAGAAAAGTGGAAAGAAAAAGGAGGAAGAACCAAGATGTTCCGTCACCTTAGCCTGTGGAGAAATATACTACCAGTACAAATGCAAAGAGGCAAATGAGACACATGTCAAAGAATGGCTGAAATAAAGATTAGCAGAAGTCAATGGAGAAGGAGCAAGTGTTGCAACAAATGCTCATTCTGTACTGACACAATCACTTTGGAAAACTGGCTGGACCAACAATGCTAAGCACACTTACCCTATAGCCTAACAGTAGTTCCATTCGTATATATGAATCCAAGTAGGTGAATATACCCACTGAAAGACTTGACATGAATGTTTATGGCTAGTTTACTCATATTAAATGTCTCCTAACAAACCAAATATACTCCCACAGGTTAATAAACTATAGTATATCCACGTAATAACATACCCAAGAAACTAGACAAGAGTTCATACCACATGGTTCCATTGATAAGAAGATCAAAAAAAGCAAAAACTAATATATGGTTAAGTCAGGTTAGTAGTTGCCTGGATTAGGGAGGGGTGCAATCTGTGATGTGGCATGGTGCTATAATTTCCACTATCTGGATATGAGCTATGGTTACATGCACTTGTAACACTCCACCTAGCAATATACTTAAGATCTTAACTATACATATAACATACCTCAATAAAAAATCTGAAAAGTGCTTTACTAAATGTTCCAAAGCCTACAAAGCGTACTTTACCTAAAGGTATTTCAGTAATATCTGCAATCCCTTTTAATTCCTCTTCAAAGGGGCTCTGAAGGGTGCCAAGTAGACTAGGCTGAAAAACAAATTAGCAGTCATTCAACCAACAGACACGCTTTGAAATCTGCTTGTTTTTATATAAATGATTCTATATATTTCAACCATAGTAGGTGATAAGGAGATATAGTTTTAAGTATTTTAAAATCATGTTTTTCTTTAAAATTGTCTATTAATACTTTATAATATCAGGCTCCCAATATTTAACTTAAAAAACCAAAAAACAAAAAAACCACAAACCACTCCTATTCTTAAGCTCATCTGTTCTCAGGTATTACATGGTGTCCTGTAACTGTCAGACTGCTTCTTCTTGATGCTATAATTGATTAGAAAAAGAGGTAACAGATCATCTCATTTGGGGGGCCTAATCCTGACAATAACACACAGATATGAACATCACAACAGTGCACCCTCTAAAGTTCTAACAGTGCTCTAGATCAAATGCAAATTTATACACGTTCCTGTGAAAAGTTATCACTAAATAAATTAAAAAATAAAATAAATTTTAAAAGACTGCTTTTCTATAATTTATATATATACAAACATGTGTGTTTAAAATATGTTGTATGAATAATGTTTCTTACCAATTTTTGGTCCACTATCTGCATAATTTTTCCACTTGGCACAAATGCATTTACTAGATTTTTCACAGAATTCACTATAATCCTTAGCTGGGAAAAAAAAACCCCACAAAATAATTAACAAGAGATAGAATAAATGTGGACATTTAAGACTAGTATTAATAATAAAAATGTAAAATTTAAAGGAAGAAAAACCCTATCTATGTTTTAATTCATACCCCTGAAATCACTGCCTTGAGCTCATCTTTATATCTTAAACCAAAAATATCCCCTTGTATCTTAAAACTGAATAATAATTTAGCTAAACTACATTAAAAGAAAGTTTGCTTAGATTCATAAAGCGCTGTAGTGGTGTAGGGGAATGCTTGGGTGGTAAATGAAGGGTCAGTGGGTCGTCATGAGAGAGACTCAGCTCCACAGCAGTGAGCTTTGAGCATTATGCTCAAATTTTGACCTAAGTTACAACAGAAACGCTGAAGAAACAAACAGAAGCTTTTAGGTGTCAGTGAATTTATATCAACAAAGATGAAAAACTCATAAAAGAACCTAGAGAATGATTGCACAACTTGAAGAATGTAACCAGTGTCACTAAATTTTTCATGTAAAAACTCTTCAACTGGTCAGTGTGTTTTGCTGTATCTGTTCTTAATTAAGAAAAATAGAATTTAAGGGAAGAAAACCCTCATCTATGTTTAATTATATTAATTAGGATTCTTCTAAGAATCACTGATTCAAATGCTCAGTAATGGTGACCAAGCACTACTCTCCTGAGGGCAATTAGCCACAAATTCTACTTCCTCTATCAGGTGACTGGAAACCAGTTGTTATACTTTCAAAATCCCAGGAACTAAGCAACAAGCTAGATCACAGAACACATTTTATTAGGCCAATTAACTAGGATGTTGCGTAAAATCATAATCCTCAACCTCCTCTAAACCAAAGAACCAAATTCCATGAGGTATTTGGTTGTGGATAAAAAAAACCTTAGCAGCGATTCTTTCTTTCTTCTTCCTTTTTCCCCTTAATCATCATTGTAAACATATGTGACTTTTTACACCTACCAGCAGCAAATACAAGAATTGACCACGCAGCTCTATAGATATACATCTTCTGATTTACTCATCTACTGCTAAATAAAATAGAAACTGAAAAGGCTTTCAATTACTATGGATTCTAATTTTAGTCTTAAAATAATACTTTATGCTTAATTATTCAAATGAAGGAAGATGATACAAAGTTAAAGAAACACATTCAAAGAGGACTATAAGAACAAGAAGCTACGATGATGCCAGAAAAGTATGGAAAACAGATTCTTAAAATACCTGGTGGTTAATTTAATTAAATATTCTCTTAAGAATATGATTATATTGAACAGCAAACATTATAAATTGAAGACTTAAGCATCGTGGCTTACCGCTGGTGCCTTGTCAGTCACTAACTCATGCCATCTTTTGTAGGGTGGTAAGTCGAGGTCTATAGTGTACCAAGGAACTGGACCCCTATAGCTGTAATGAGAAAAGCATCTTCTTAAGATATCTGAAAAGCAGCCCCTCTTCCCAGAATAGGTAGCATTATCCGGGGGGCTATAAGATAATATAAAATTAATAACTAAATTGATGAATATAAACAAATTTTAATATTAATGAGTTAAACCATTTAAATAAATATTAAGCAAACCAATATTTGCCAAAATACGTACATTTGTTTTCATTCAGTGCTTCTGCTCTAGACTCACATATCATCCCCAGTATTTGGAATAGAACATAGATTCTCAAAGATTTGTAATGAACTAGTGAGATGTGAAAGGACTGATGAAGGCTCAGAAGCTACAGCCCAAGTACCACTGCTAGTCAGCGTCTGCCTTCCCCGCTCCTAAATCTCCACCACAGAACACAGTGCTGGAAGAGGAGCTCCCTCCTTGGAAGGCACTGGGAATACACACTGGCCACAACAGTGGTCTTGACCAGATTAAATACTGTGATGATGGCAGAACCATGCTATGATCTCTTCTATTGTACTTGGGGTCACCAAAGTTAGAGGTAACTCAGTGAGAACTAGCAAAAAAAAAAAATCTCGGTAAGGTGTCAGTCTAAGCTCTGTAGAGTTTTCTAATTGGTAATCCTATCTTAGGACTGCTTTCCTAGACTGTCTAATACCATTATCAAATCTCTGTTTTCTAATGTTGACATCAGGAAGCCAACTAAGTGCCCAGACTAGCACCATGGTTTCATTCTTCCTGACTGGCTTCAATCAAGAACCTTCACAATTCATGGAGTCGTCTAATCTTCAATGCTACTTCCTCTCTTCTCATACTTTTTTACGAAGGTCATATAAAAAACATCACTTTATTGTGTAGACTTTATTTTTCAATATGACTTTCCTAGCCATTGAATTTGACTTTTGCCATGGGGATGGGCAAGAATATGAAAATAAGGCATGTCACCCTATCCACAAGGGGATGGCTAGTCTCGCCATTAAATTGAGTGGATCCAGCAACAGCAAGAAGAAACCTCACCTCTAGAAAAGAACAGCAAGCAACTTGTCCTTCAGGACCAGAGCAACAGCCACAGCAGCCAGTGGAGAACCAGAGGCCATGAGGTGGAGCTACCCTGCAACTGCTACCCACCCCACCCTTCCCCACCCCCCATGGACACAACCAGAGCTGAACTAAGAGTTTCTGCCTAAGTTTGTAGGACAGCTGGGGGTGGGGAGGGGGTCAATACTGGCAGGAATGAGAACTTTACAGCACTGGCCTAAAGCCATGAAGGCCGTCTGAGGTGCCTGCAAGCACGTTTCAGAACCTGTCCTGATTGTACTCTGCTACTAACCTGGGTTATATAACCTTTTGACTTCCCCAGTATGGTGCTGTGTGGTCTGTGAGCTATTGCATTGGATCTTGGACCCAGTTAAGTAGTAAGATTGGTGTTGTAATGAGTAGAAAGGGGTCCAATAGTGTGAGGGACATGTCTGACCTCATGAAGATTTATTTTGCATTGTTAATGTAAGGTCGTGCCCATGTGACCCTCGCTCTTTTTACTGCTGCCATGTCCACTATCCACGTTCAACATGTCACTCTTAAATTTATGCACAGCAATTTCCACTAAGAGGAAACAGGAATATCTACTTTAAAATAAAACACAAATCCTCACAACCGGACCAATGAACAGATTCATGAGAAATGGAGAAAAAACCCGAAGTTTTCAAGGATGTTCTTTTACTTGGATCCACAAACAATGTACACTAATTGTGGACTGAAGTTAAAGGAAACAGCAGTCAAGAAGTAAACCAACATACTGCACGAGGAAAATCTGATATAAATACCTCCTGAAAGGCTAAAAATCAGATGTCATTTTGAAGCCTAAAGTCATCTCCTGTATCCTTATATATTATGGGAAATCTTGGCAATGAAAAAGAAAAACTAAAGAATTATTTTTTACTCTGAATTCCACTGTTGACAAAATATGAAAATATACCATAGATTAAAAATCACAACAAAAATTTAAAAATTTCAAAAATTAAAAATTAAAAAAGGAAAGAGTAATGGTGTCACTCTGGAGACAAAGGTGCACCTGATAAAGGCCATGATCTTAGCAATAACTTGCTATGTGTCAGAGAATTGAACAATGACTAGGGAGGACAGAAGGAGAATTGATGATGCCTTTGAGCTGTGGTGCTGGAGAAGAGTACTGAATATACCATGGACTGCTAGGAAAACAAACAGGTTCATCCTGGACAGGGTTAAACCAGATTGGAGGCAAGGATTCTGAGGCTTCTTCTGACATACTCTGGACACGCTACAAGGAGGGACTGGTCCTTGGAGAGGACGTCAAGCTTGGGAGGGTAGAGGGACAGCACAGGAGGGGAAGACCCTCTATGAGGTGGATTGATTCAGTGACTGGGGTAATCGGGATGGGAGTGTCGGAGACAGTGCGATTGGCACAGGACAGAGCAGAGTTTAGGGCTGTTGGACATAGGGTCACTATGAGTCACAGGCAACTCAATGACAAGTAACAACAACAACAACAAACACATCATACTTTACCAGAAGAACAAACAAATCTGTATTGGAAGATACATAGCCAGAATACTCCTTCCAAACAAAAATACTAACATTTGGTCTCAAGTGTTTTGGACATATTAAAAAGGAGACCAGTCTCTGGAGAAGGATATCATACTTGGTTTATCAGGTTAGTGAAAAAGAGGAAACCCCTCAATGACACAGGCTGACACAGTGGCTACAATACGGGACCTGAACAGAGCAGGTCATGTGGATCTGGGTGCAGGTCTGGGCAATGTCTCATTCTGCTCTACCTGGCTGCTAAGCAGGAACTGATTTGACAATACTTAACAGCAATAAGAACTCCCTTACCAAGAGCCAGGTCCCATTCCTGAAGAATAACCTGATTATTCTCTGTAGCTCCATAAACATTATCTACTGGCATCATTGCTAAATTGAGATACCTTCTAAGGGTGTGCAATTCATTCTGTGATTTATCAACGCCAAACTATGGCCTTATTTCTTGGCCCAGAACAGGAAATAGTGCACTGTTTGTACAGGTATGTACTGTCATGTTTCAAAACGCAGGTCAACAGCAGGAAGAGGTTCTTTCTTAAAAGTCTTGAATAATGGTTCTATTTATACTTGCTTTATCATAAGTAATTAATTTAAAAAAATTTATGAGTGAAAGTTTATAAATCATAATGGTTTTCATTCATTCATACACATTTTGTTTGATAACATTATAATTGATTGATGTAATGAATTAATGGTGATGTCTGATTAACCCCTTGTTGTATAATGCCTTTCCCTTCACCCAACTTATCTATTATTTTCTGCTCCTCTTATCTTCCATTTCTCACTTCTTGTAAACATCCAGGAATGACTCAATCTGTGGGTTAGCCCTTCCTTTTTATAATGGTAGTCGTCCACCACAGCTGTCCTACTGTGACTGATTTATGCCACTCAGCATAACTTCCCCTAGATTCAACTATATGATGCAATGTTTATGAATTTTTTTAACACCGTAAATAATTCTAATACTCTAAATCATGTTGCTGAACTTGACCCCCTGCTCTCTGTATACAGTTTAATGGAAGTATCACTTATTTGCCACTCATGCTTTTAGTAGAAAAAAGGAATACATACAACTTGGGGAACATAAATTTAAATAAAAATCACAATGAATGAATTTTCTTTTTCTCAAGACACTTTCAAGTTCTAGGGTTCTGAGAACATTTAGATCCTAAAATAGAGATTTCTGTCAAAACAAATTAATTTCATTCATGACTGACCATAATTTCACATGTAAAATTATTGTCTTCCCCCTCAGGAAGATGCTTCATGTACTTGGATTTCCATGTATAGCAGTAATCAATGATACATTAGTAGCCACCGGTGCTATGCATGACGGTGGCACTGACATGAAATATGTACTCTTCTATTAATATCAATTACCTGCTCCTCCCCTCACAACATCTAACAAAACAAACCACACTCCCATTATCTCCCTTAAACTACTGATTTTCTACCAATCAATAGTCTTAGGTAGGCATAAGGATTAAAAAAAATATATTAAAGAAAGAAATGACCATTACATGAGACCAGAAAGCTTCAGAAACCTGTCTAAAATCAACTTCTATTAATCAGAATTCTGTGTGTAACTGATAAACCTAACAATTACATTGTGAATTAAAGGTTAACTATAGTTCCACATCTTACCTCCTATTAGATTTTTTAAATATCATCTTGTGTACATCAAGTCAGAACTGATTCATAGCTGACCTGCCAGCAGGGTTGCAGAGGCAGTAAATCACACTGAAGAGTGCCCATCTTTCTCCCATGGAGTAACTGGTAGAATCAAACTGCGTAACTTTGGGTTGATAGTGAAATTTCTTACCACTAAGCCACCAGAGCTCCCTTAAATATCTTAGTTCTTGATACAACATCTCGATCTCTTACAAAAATAAGAGTAATTACCTTAATAGTGAAGATTACAAGAACTATGTAAATACTTAGCAGAAGGGGGATCTAATCGTTAGCAATTATCACTTATCTATTTCTGCTGTCAAGTTGGAACCAACTCAGAGCTGACCCTCCAGCAGACTTTCACGGAGATTTAAACTGCACAGGAGATTTCCATTTTCCCCCCCAGGAAGCAGCCTATTTTTTTGAGTTAGCAGCTCAAGTCCTTACCTACTAGGCTACCAGAGTTCCCACTCTGCTTTATTAGAAACAACAGAGTCAAATGAATTCTTTCTTCAGGTTAGCGCTTACTGTAATCACTTCATCACTAGCACTCCTTAGCACTGACTCCACATGGTTCCTAAGTGGCTTGGAAACTAGCTGATATGACAAACATATACATATTAGAAAGGTTGTAAGCACACAGTGAGTAACAGAAAAGAAATGTTAATGGAGTTGAGATGGATACAAGGGTGATCTGCTGTCAGTCCCTAGATCTCTTGCACTGACTGGCTGGTCAGGCTGATACACAAGTGTCTCACT